GCAGAAGAGTTCCATGATATTTCCAGGCATTGATTGCCACGGTTATATTGAGTGGCACTTCACTTTCACGAAGACACCCTTGAGACAGAAGAGTTTGAAGAGGATCTTTCGAGGCATGTATTGCTAAAAATATATTCAGTGACACTTCTCTGTCACAAAGACAACCTGGAGGCAGAAGAAATACCTGAGGACATTTCGAGTCATTGATTGCTATAAATACATTCCTTTACACTTCACTGTCACGAAGACACATTGAATGCAGAAGAATTCTATGACATCTCGAGGCACTGATTGCCAAGATAATATTACGTGGCACTTCACTGTCACGAAGACACCCTTGAGAGAGAAGGGTTTGAAGAGGATATTTCGATTCATTGATTAAATACATTCAGTGACACTTCATTGTCACAAAGACACCTTGGATGCAGAAGGGTTCTATGACATCTCGAGGCGTTGATTGCCAGATAATATTAAGTGGCACTTCACTGTCACGAAGACACCCTTCAGACAGAAGAGTTCTATTACATTCGATGAGGACATTTCGAGGCATTGATTGTCAAGATTACATTCAGTGACACTTCACTGTCACGAAGACACCTTGGATGCAGAAGAATTCTCTGACATCTCGAGGCATTTATGGTGAAGATTTTATTGAGTGGTACTTGATTGTCACGAAGGCACCCTTGAGAGAGAAGAGTTTGAAGAGGATATTTCGATTCATTCATTGTTATGGATACATTCAGTGACACTTCACTGTCACGAAGTCACCTTGGATGTAGAAGAGTTCTATGACATCTCGAGGCATTGATTGCCAGCTTTATATTGAATGGCACTTCACTGCCACGAAGACACCCTTGAGACAGAAGAGTTTGAAGAGGATATTTCTATTCATTCATTGCTGAGGATACGTTCAGGAAAACACCCTGGAGGCAGAAGAATTCCATCAAGACATTTTGATTCATTGATTGCAAAGAATACATTCAGTGACACTTCACTGTCACGAAGACACCTTGGATGCAGAAGAGTTCCATGATATTTCCAGGCATTGATTGCCACGGTTATATTGAGTGGCACTTCACTTTCACGAAGACACCCTTGAGACAGAAGAGTTTGAAGAGGATCTTTCGAGGCATGTATTGCTAAAAATATATTCAGTGACACTTCACTGTCACAAAGACACCCTGGAGGCAGAAGAATTCCATGAGAACATTTCGAGACATTGATTGCTATGAATACATTCAGTGACACTTCAGTGTCACGGAAACACCTTGAATGCAGAAGAGTTCCATGATATTTCCAGGCGTTGATTGCCAAGAATATATTGAGTGGCACTTCATTGTCACGAAGACACCCTTGAGAGAGAAGGGTTTGAAGAGGATATTTCGAGGCATGTATTGCTAAAAATATATTCAGTGACACTTCACTGTCACAAAGACAACCTGGAGGCAGAAGAAATACCTGAGGACATTTCGATTCATTGATTGCTATAAATACATTCCTTTACACTTCACTGTCACGAAGACACATTGAATGCAGAAGAATTCTATGACATCTCGAGGCATTGATTGCCAAGATAATATTGCGTGGCACTTCACTGTCACGAAGACACCCTTGAGAGAGAAGGGTTTGAAGAGGATATTTCGATTCATTGATTAAATACATTCAGTGACACTTCACTGTCACAAAGACACCTTGGATGCAGAAGGGTTCTATGACACCTCGAGACGTTGATTGCCAGATAATATTAAGTGGCACTTCACTGTCACGAAGACACCCTTCAGACAGAAGAGTTCTATTACATTCGATGAGGACATTTTCGAGACATTTTGATTCATTGATTGCATTCAGTGACACTTCACTGTCACGAAGACACCTTGGATGCAGAAGAGTTCCATGATATTTCCAGGCATTGATTGCCACGGTTATATTGAGTGGCACTTCACTTTCACGAAGACACCCTTGAGACAGAAGAGTTTGAAGAGGATCTTTCGAGGCATGTATTGCTAAAAATATATTCAGTGACACTTCACTGTCACAAAGACACCCTGGGGGCAGAAGAATTCCATGAGAACATTTCGATTCATTGATTGCTATGAATACATTCAGTGACACTTCAGTGTCACGGAAACACCTTGAATGCAGAAGAGTTCCATGACATCTCGAGGCATTGATTGCCAAGAATATATTGAGTGGCACTTCATTGTCACGAAGACACCCTTGAGAGAGAAGTGTTTGAAGAGGATATTTCGAGGCATGTATTGCTAAAAATATATTCAGTGACACTTCACTGTCACAAAGACAACCTGGAGGCAGAAGAAATACCTGAGGACATTTCGATTCATTGATTGCTATAAATACATTCCTTTACACTTCACTGTCACGAAGACACATTGAATGCAGAAGAATTCTATGACATCTCGAGGCATTGATTGCCAAGATAATATTGCGTGGCACTTCACTGTCACGAAGACACCCTTGAGAGAGAAGGGTTTGAAGAGGATATTTCGATTCATTGATTAAATACATTCAGTGACACTTCACTGTCACAAAGACACCTTGGATGCAGAAGGGTTCTATGACATCTCGAGGCGTTGATTGCCAGATAATATTAAGTGGCACTTCACTGTCACGAAGACACCCTTCAGACAGAAGAGTTCTATTACATTCGATGAGGACATTTCGAGGCATTGATTGTCAAGATTACATTCAGTGACACTTCACTGTCACGAAGACACCTTGGATGCAGAAGAATTCTCTGACATCTCGAGGCATTTATGGTGAAGATTTTATTGAGTGGCACTTGATTGTCACGAAGACACCCTTGAGAGAGAAGAGTTTGAAGAGGATATTTCCATTCATTCATTGCTGAGGATACGTTCAGGAAAACACCCTGGAGGCAGAAGAATTCCATCAAGACATTTTGATTCAATGATTGCAAAGAATACATTCAGTGACACTTCACTGTCACGAAGACACCTTGGATGCAGAAGAGTTCCATGATATTTCCAGGCATTGATTGCCACGATTATATTGAGTGGCACTTCACTGCCACGAAGACACCCTTGAGACAGAAGAGTTTGAAGAGGATATTTCTATTCATTCATTGCTGAGGATACGTTCAGGAAAACACCCTGGAGGCAGAAGAATTCCATCAAGACATTTTGATTCATTGATTGCAAAGAATACATTCAGTATCACTTCACTGTCACGAAGATACTTTGGATGCAGAAGAGTTCCATGATATTTCCAGGCATTGATTGCCAAGATTATATTGAGCGGCACTTCACTGTCAGGAAGACACCTTGAATGCAGAAGAGTTCTATGACATCTCGAGGCATTGATTGCCAAGATTACAATCAGTGACACTTCCCTGTCACCAAAGACAACCTAGAGGCAGAAGAATTCCATGAGGACATTTCGATTCATTGATTGCTAAGAAAACATTCCGTGACACTTCACTGTCACGAAAACACCTTGGATGCAGAAGAGTTTTATGACATCTCGAGGCATTGATTGCCAAGTTTATATTGAGTGCCACTTCATTTTCACGAAGACCCCCTTGAGACAGATGGCTTTCAAGAGGATATTTCTATTCATCGATTGCTAAGGATACGTTCCGTTCCGTGACACTTTACTGTCAGGAAGACACCCTTGAGACAGAAGAATTGAGGACATTTCGAGACGTTGATTGCTAAGAATACATTCAGAGACACTTCACTGTCACGAGGCATTGATTGCCAAGATTATATTGAGTCACACTTCATTGTCACGAAGACACATTTGAGACAGAAGAGTGCCAATAACTCCACGAGGGGCAATGATTGCCAAGATTATATTCATTGACAATTCCGTCACGACGACAACTTGGAGGCAGAAGAGTGGCATTTATCATGAGGAGGCATAGACAGGAAAGGATATATTCAGTGTCAATACAATGTCACGAAGACACCCTGGAAGCAGAAGAATTCCATCTCGAGGCATGGATTGCCAAGAATATATTGAGTGGCACTTTACTGTCACAAAGACACCCCGCATTCAGAAGAGATTCATAAGAGGACATTTCGAGGCATTGATTGCTGAGGATATATTCTATGATACTTCTTCGTCACGAAGACACCCTGGAGCCAGAAGAGATCCATCAGGACATCTCGATGCATTGATTACCAATATTTTTTAAAATGGCACTTCCTGTCACGAAGAAATCTTGGATGCAGAAGAGTTCTAAGAGGCCATTTCGAGGCATTGATTACTAAAAAAATTTAAATGACACTTCACTGTCATGAAGACACCCAGGTGGCAGAAGATTTCCATGAGGACAAATCGAGGCATTCATTGCCAAGAATATATTTTGCGTAACTTCACTTTCACGATGACACCGTGGAGACAGAAGAATTCCAATCGGCCGTTTTGAGGCGTTGATTACGAAGAATATTTTCAATGACACTTCGCTGTCATGAAGAGGTATGAAAGTTCCAAGAATGTTAATCTCGAAGCATTGATTGCTAAGAAGATATTCAGTGATAATTCACTGTCACGAAATTATTCGAGACCTCTTGAGGAAATGATTGCCAGAAGATATTCAGTGTCACTGTCACGAGGACACCCTGGAGGCAGAACAGTGCCTTTCACTTCAGTGTCTATTTCTGCAGATATTTGTTAGGTCACAGTGACCTATTTTTAATGAAAAGCATGAACCATATTTTCGTTATGACATAGAATTCCACCATGAGACTTCACATTGGGTTTTATATACTGGTTAACCCTTGAAAATATTGCAGTTGATATTGATAATGTCAAGGTCACGTGTTCTCAATAATAAAAATCGTTCAATGTAGTTACAATTAATTGAAATGACGAAGACCTACTATAAGGTCTAAATGACTAGGCAATCAAATGCAATTTTCCATAATAATCCCCCAAATGTTTTCACGTCGAAGGTCAGCATTCATGTTTGTTTGTTTGTTTGTTTGTTTGTTTGTTTGTTTGTTTGTTTGTTTGTTTGTTTTTGTTAAGTGTATTCTAGATTCTCTGGACATAGCACTGAAAAACATTAAAATGACACAAACCAATTAATTCCTAAGATCGATTGGTTGGCACGTCACTAGTTCAGCAATTATGATTTTACAACCAGTTCTCATCACCAGTTGTGGATGGACGACGTCCTGAGGGTGGCGCTTTGAAGTGATGAGGTTTTGAGTGACCTTCTATGAAGATTAAGGTCACTGGATTGGTCTGTCTTAAGGTACTTCTGCTCCTTTCTGTACTGAGGAAATAATGTGTGTGTATAACATGTTTGTAAGAGCTTACACCTATGTTTTCAACTAAAAATAATCAAACATGTGATTCTCTTAAGTTGAGGTCAAAGTCATTACACCAAAAGTGCTTATAACTTTCTGTTAATGGTAGCTTGTGGAATAACACTTTCTGTTTTGAAGTTGTCTTCTTTCCAAACGGGAAATGATGTCATTTAACTGGAAGTGCCAACAACTTTCTTAGTAATGTTGGTGCAGAACTGTTTTTAGGTTGTGATGCATTGAGCTTATGTTATGTTTGGCCTTTACTACAATTAAGTCAGTGTGTCTGTATTCCCATTACAGAGGTGAAGTTATCAAACCAAGAGTGCTTACATTGACAGCTTGAGGCACAGGACTAATTTCTACTGCATTTGGCAACATGAGGTATCCGTGATGAATCTAAAATATGTATTGATGAGATCATCTGTCACTTGAGTAGATGGACGTTAAAATGGGCCATGATACACGTTTGTTGTGGTAAAGTTTTCGCTATTCAAGAAAAATTATGTAGGGACTAGTTCTGTGTTGCATGTAATTTAATATATTTATTCATATATGTTTTACATGTTTGTCCTTGCATCTGTGGGTAGTTGTAGAATAGCATTACTGTTGTAAATATGTAAGCTTAGTGCCATAAGGTAGAAATGGATCCCATACACCTGGGAATATTGTACAAATTTAAACCTTTAAAATTATGGTCGCGGTTGTTTGATCAACATCCATGGCGAGATGAAGTATGAAATGCATTGCTTCGATGCTGTCAGTGCCATTCAAATTGATTAGCAGAGACAGATAGCATTAATTATGAGAAACAATACGCGCTGATGGCTGAAAATCAATGTTACGACAATACTAATTCTACATGTCACCAATTTGTAAGTGCTTACTTGTAACGTTGTCTTTCTTTTTCATTCAGTATGAATCACTTGATCCACCAAGACTTGAACGAGCTGTGGAGGACAAGTAGTTGGTACCTGACAAAGGCCACTGTGATGGGCATTACTTGCACCGGGTACCACCTGGAAAACTCGCAGTTGTGCCCCGAGTGATTGTGCACCGTCCTCTAATCACTCGAACGTGATGCCACACTTACAACTACTGTGGGACTAGGTGGTTTCAATATCATACTTGTGAGGCTGACCTTCATGAACTATAGTGTCACGCCATTTTTCTGTATCAAACCATGTATAATAAAAGTATGAAAAATCCACCATTTGGTTTTCATTGTAGCTAATCGGGCATTTGAAGCCATGAGAGTATGAAATGATTTGTTGAAAATCTTGATATGATTCCCTAGTCTATCAGGCCAAATGATTTTCTCTTCCTGCAAAATATATTGATTGACTACAGAGCCTAATGTTCGAACACCAACGTGTTGTTTACTACAAAAATGACTGCTGAGCGATATTTTGAAGTACATAATACAAAGTGGTAAATAATAAATGTCTGGCAGAAATTTCTGGAGGTATAAAAAAGATTCTTCCAGAAATTTCTGCAGTACAAAACAAATCAGTCAGAATTTTCTTCAGAAATGCATTTGAGCTCATTTGAGGAACATAAACTTTCCAATGTTCCTGTGTGTTCCTGTAGGCTCGATCCCTTTATGGGCATGTTCGGACTGCTGACCATTCCAAAGTTGTATCCCCTCTCCTTCATGTAAGTTATATCCCAGCGTGTTACATGTAGGTTCATGCGGAGGAAACGTCTGAAGCGGTACAGAACGTAGGAGAACCCAAATGTCAGTAAAATGATAAAATATAAAACCTAGCAAATTCGAAAATTAGGCTACAAAAAATACAGTGCTCTCGCTGTCAGTTGACAATGCATTTGTTTAAAAACAACTCTCGCAATGCAAATTAATTTTGATTTTCTAACAAAAATGATCACACATATCTTCACACCACGATTAAGTTGTAACCAGGGTGAAATATTCACGTGAAACGTGTGACGCAACGCCTGAGAAGGGATGTATCGGGGTGTTTCTGTTCAAATAATGTTTTCTCATCAACTGACCTGACATAAATGATCAAACGTGCTCCATTCATTCAATATTTGGCAAGAAATGACATATGTTCTCTTCTATGGAAACTCATTGAAACACAAAGAAAGTAGTTCCTGCAGCTTCGTTTTATTGAAAATGTTTCCACTGACGCGCATAGCAAAACTCAGCGTTCTAAATGAGCGAACACCACAACATGGACAGATCAGAATATTTTAGCGAAGTGACTTATGCTTTTAAGGACAAAAGACGCATCAACAGCCACTGTTTTATTCGACTATTTAACGTTACAAAAACATCAGTTGAAAAAAGAGGAAGTAAGAAATATAAGGAAACAAAAAGTGAAACATAAAAAGTAGCCAGTTCCTGGGACTACATATCACCAATTCTGAGTCACTCGGGTGAATGAGAGAGCTCAGCATTATTCCGGACGTAAAATGTTAAAATTGCAGAATAAAGTAGTTTAACTATGTGCTGCTTGTTGGTCAGTTCGGGAAACATGCGTCTACGGGTAATTGATGGGTGGTGACACCAGAAACCCTGGATCTGCCTATGCCTCTGCTTGCTACACAATAATATAAAATATAATTTCCGTCGCTAGCTTGTCAGTTTTTGCTGACTCTGTCGTTAAACAAAATTCAACATAATATACCACACATCACTTCACGTACAAAAGAATAATTGTTGATATCCTATCTTGTGTAAACGGGACAATTATAATAGCTTTTCGTCACAGGGATCACGTTTTACACATGATTCTTATTATTGACCATAAGAGAGAAATGTTCAGAGGAGATAATGCCGGACTGCACGTTCCACTCTTGCCTATGAATACATTACATTACCACTTTCACATGGCTGTCTAAATCGCCAAACATTAAAGCCACAGAACATTTGGGCTAGCTAGGACCCAAAGCCTTCTTCAATCATGACGATGCGGATCAGTTTTGGAGTCACGTAGTGGTCTCAATAGCTACCGAGAACAAGGCCCATTTGTGAACTGACATCATCACTGCTTGAACTTTTATTGACTTATTTACAATTACTAACATTCAGGCCATCATTTCCATGTGAGACGTTGACTTGCCTTTACACGTGTTCGCAATGTGTGGGGCAGAAAAATCGCACCTTTTCGCAAACATCCTATGTCATCACTACTTTTGACAGTTATTCATGAACACTTGATATGGTCGCACTCGTAGAATGTACACGGATGTCACTTTTATTTCCAAGTTCTAATTTTAGCGGTTACACTGTGTGTAACACCCACGCATCTGACATCTGATGTGGACATGGCAAACGTTGAATTGCGAATTGTTGTATAAGAGCACCAATTACTGCATTTTTAAGATATCACATAATCCCCAAATCATTAACGATACATCCAACAATGGGTATATATATCCAATCAACAACATTGGTATTCTATGTTAAAATAGAAAGCATGTAAGTCTCCTAAAAGCAAGGCTTGACCAACTTACTGGTACATTAGCATCAAATAGGATATCAATATGGTCTAATCAATGTATTGATGTACGTGGGGAAACCTTGCCAGCATACATGTGTAATAATATACAAAGCAATATGTCATCAGGTCGGTTCGTGACCAGTGAAGATCCGGGTTAGAATAGATCTTCAGCAGCCCATGCTTGCCGTCAAAGGCGACTATGCTTGTCGTAAGAGGCAACTAACGGTATCGGATGGTCAGGCTCGCTAACATGGTATCCCAATTGCGTGGGTCAATGCTCATGATATCAGTCATATATCATGAAACACTGAACATTGAACCATATATGTAATCCTGACACAGGACACCTCACATTTGAAGTCAGGATTTGTGTGAGTCAGTGTGTTGGGTTTAACGCCGTTTTGAACAGTATCCCAGTTATATCACGGCGTGCCAGCTAGACGTGGGCTGAAAGCCCATAGTAATGCAGGTTTCAAACGTTTATCACCTTGGTGAAACCCACAAGCACGGGTGTGGTGCTGACAAACCTAGAAAGGTAATCATGGCGAACCGGGATTCGATCTCACAATCATATGTTTTCAATGGACCTAACTCTGCACAGTGAATTGCTGAGCCTCAGACGACTGGGCCACCCATGGACTCAAATCAGAACAACTGTTAATGCAACGTTGCGAGGGCACCTTTTTTAAACGACGTCCAAGCTAATACTTGATTATCTGTTATTCTATGCATTGAACCAATGACCTGCATGCACAAAACATGATAATGATGTATGATGAAACTATTCCATTGTCACAATGGATGTAATGTGTGGATAGTGCTTGAATAGGATCCGACCCGTGAAGATCCGGGGTAGAATAGGTCTTCTGCAACCCATGCTTGTCGTAAGAGGCGACTAACGGGATCGGGTGGTCAGGCTCGCCGACTTGGTTGATGTATGTCATCGTATCCCAATTGCGTGGATCGATGCACATGATGTCAATCACTGGATTGTCTGGCCCAGACTCGATTATTTACAAACCACCTTCATATAGCTGGAATATTGCTGAGTGCGGCGTTAAACAGCAAACAAACAAACTGTTGATAGAATTTTAGATCTTCACAATCACCGGGTATGACCATATAGACAGAATCTCGTTAGGGTTGGTGATTTTTACATTTGCCCAATGACCATGGTGAGTGTTATTGGGAATACTATTAGAGGAAATTGATTGTGAGTACTTATACCATTTGGATAGGATATGTTTAGGATTTTAATCCTTTCTTTCGCTGTGGGTAATCCTTTCACGTTGATGGAAGGAAGTCACTCAACCAGGTCATGACAATGGTTATGCGCAAGGCTCGGGATCACGAATAGATCACTAGAGGTGTTGATGCAGGCTGGACATGCAGCATACAGCATTTCCAGTGTAGGCTGGCACCTCGTCTTTGTTTCACTCGGTATTTAAAACCTTGACCATTCACAGGTGCATTTGTCTATTTATAATGAAGTTGTTTGGCGTTCCCAGTATTTATATAATATCTCACTGATTACTTGTTAACTGGTCACTGCAAGTGCCTTAATTATTTAAGTTTCAGTGAATTGAGTTTATTCACATGTTAGCTTTCAAAGGTTGTGATACATACTTGTAAAATCCTCAGTTGAGTTTACTCACTAACTACTGTGAGCGTTTTTGGCATGATATCTGTGGGAATTGTATAAACACAGTAACTGCTAAAAGCGGCGTAAAACCATGCTCACTCGCAGTAACTGTTAATCCTCTGCATTGTGCTGGCAAATTGGAGATAAACCTGTGACGATCAAACTCAGTTAGAATCCTTGTTTATCTGTGACATCTTCCAACTGGAGACATTTTTGTAAACTTGAAAAGTGATGATGAATTTTAATATTCATATTATTGAAACCGTCCTTTTTAAGGGACCGTTTATGCCTAGAATTGTTACGGGGAATTAACTCCGGGATCTCCACGCCTTCAAAAACAGACAGAGAGGTTCTCAGGCGAAATGCAGGAATGACCCTGTGCCAAGATACCCCTGCATATACACCCGAGACCTCCACGCCACGTTTGAATGCATGTCACTACCCATCTGTCCAGTTTGGAATTGATAACAATGGTTTCCCACATGGTGGTCAAATTTTGAAAGTTTTGATGTGCTGACTTGCTTAGTTAGTTGTTTATTGGCTGGTCGGCTGTGTTTGAAACTTGTCAATCGGCTCTAGACTGGTTTCGACAGCTTGCATCTCCAAGCGTTACGTATTATGATAGACGTCCTGTAAACTATGTAGCTTTTACTGGCTTGGGAATGTGAAACTTAAAGTAGTAGAATATATTTGATTTTGATAGAACTTGAAGAAAAACATAATGATTTTCGCACTGTTATATTATTATACTTTTTCAAATTGTCAATAAAACTTTGATAGAATTGTGCTACACTCTCTGGAAAAAATGTATTGTCTGTGGGTAAGTTTATATGTCACGTCACATCAGCATTTTTTCAGTTATATTGTGGCGAAATAATTGCCAGCTTTTGGGATTACATGTAACATGGCTGCTTTTATATTTCTTATACAGGTGCTTGACT